AGTAAGAATTAATTGAGAAAATTCTGAATTTTCTTAGACTTCTGGTCTGTGAACGGCAGCGTCATTGCCTGGCCATTGCAGACAGGCTTGCGTTAAACGGTGACTCATTGGGCCCCCATAAATTCACAGGGATTCTGGATCCCTGGACTGTTGCTTCCACAAGCTGGCAGGACCCGTTGTACTTTACACCAGTTAATAGGCTTTATCAAAAGATGTTTTGATATTGCTGGCCTTTTTGTCAGTTCATTTGATTGTGCTCTGTCTTGATCCAGCCCTTTCCCCGTCCTCCACTGCATCTTCCATCTTCATCTTCAGATCAGAGCATCCGAACAACATCCTTGGCTGTTCAGGCTTCAGCGCAGTACACACCAGCGGGCTTGGTGGAGCAGTGATTAAGTGCTCGGCTGTTAACTGAAAGGTTGGCCGTTTAAACCCACCAGCCACTCTGTGGGAGAAAGATGTGGCAGTCTGCTTCCATAAAGATTACAGCCTTGGAAACGGTGGCAGCTCTTCTCTGTCGTACAGGGTCACTATGAGTTGGAATCGACTCGACGGCAGGGGTTTTTGGTTTTGACAGTACAGAACAGATCTTCGAAAGCTAAAAGGAAGCTTGTTCGTCACGAGATTTAAATTTTTGGAGTCCCTAGTGTTTACTTCTGTTAAGCTAGCTCGGTAGGGTAAACACATGTCTTGGTTTACATGGGACAGTTCTGGGTTATGCCTGTATTCTTGGCGTCACTATTAATAATGTCTGCTTTTACTTTCAGAAGTATCTGTTAAATTGTATAGTCACCCCAGCCATCAGGGAGATCCACAGACATTGTCCCTTTATGCATCCCCAAATACAACTTATGGAAAGTAGATGTAGTTAAAATACAGCGACAGCCCCTGGGCCTGCTGCCGGCTTCACACAGGCTGCAGCAAAGGCTTTCCGAGGACAAATGGGGGGACAACCTGTCATTTGCTTAGTGAAAGATGTTTATTGCTATCATAGAAACAAGAAAATTGCCGCTCCCGTTCGTGTTAGACATCTCTCGGCCAATCTGGTCATGATTCTTTAAGGCAAACAGTACAGAGCCAAGGTTTTCATTTATTTTACAAACAAAATAGGCACAGTTATTATTTAACTTGTTGTGATGGAGGCCGGGGAACCTCCTGTCGACTGGGAGCTGAAAGGGATCTTGAAACATAGGTAGAGAATTTAGCGCCCCCCTTACCTTTTCAGGTGAGGCACCTTGTCTCCGGGAGGCCGTGCGACCTGTGTGTGGTCACACAGCTGTTTATGTAGGATCCCACACTGTGGCCACGTCGCCCATGCGTTCACCCAGGGTTCTCTGTGCTAGATGCTTGTGAAAAGTCACAGGTACCCTTCCCCCATGTGTCCTCTCGCTGACAACAAAACTCCGTGTAAAATATCCTGACTCGAGGGTAGGAGGTGTATCTACATCAGTCACATTGATTGTTTGCATTTTATATATTACAGACCATGGGCACAGCAGGTATGTGCTGGGGACT